GAAAAAGACGGGAGGGCAGAAGGTTAGCGGGTGTCTTGGTGATTGGTGAAGCATACTTTGCAATCAGATTTTGCAGCATCCCAGACTACAAGGGGTAAGATCGAGGGGCATGAAGGTAGGATCTTGAGAGCTTGGACAATATATCAAGAATTGTAGGGATGGAAGAATTCTTCAGTCTTTCTTTGTTCTTTCTTCCTCATTGATTTTTTTCTTCTAGCCCCTGCTTGTTTCTTTGAAGCAAAATTCTCTGTCTTTGGTTTCTGGTAGCTCATTTACTAATTTCATTTTTGGCATGTTTTAGATGACGGTATTGTTGTACCTTTGTAACATCCGTTAATTGGGTTTAAACAGTGTCATTTGTATGGGGTGATTGTTATTTGATTAAAACTCAAGGTTTATTTTGTAGTTTGGCTGAACCTCCGAGGAGTTGTATGTAATTAACCCTTCCTTAACCTTAATCTTTTCTAGTTACTATTTCGTTTCCTTAAAAATGATGTTAAAAATCAAACTGTCTGCATTGGCATCCAAGAATGTGAGAATATGGGGTTATTTTGATGGGTAAAAACTTGAGTAAATTTGGTTTTCAAAAATTCAATGATTCAGAATGCGTCACTTTTCGAATTATTTGCATTCGCATCAAAGAATATGAGAATGTGGGGTTATTTTGATGGGTAAAAGTTGGGATGAATTTGGTTTTCAAATATTCAACGATCAAGATTGTGTTATATTACTTGGTAAGCGAGGTGACACAATTTAGATTATTGAATTTTTGAAAATTGCAAGTGATTTAACATAATTTAGATCATTAAATTTTTTAAAATTGCATCTACTCAAGTGTAAGTAATTTTAACATGGATCAATCTTCTTCTTGTGGAACGACTTGCAGGGGTAACTTGGTTCTTTATTTTTTCTTCTTTTGGATAACTGTCAAATTTTACATTTCCGACTTTTTTATTGTGCTTAAGTTGTCCATTTATCCTTGGATCATTTTGCTTACGGAGCATTGGCCGTCCCCTAGAAAAAGTCCAGCACCTCGAGAACTTGGAACAACAAAATCCCGATGGGGCGTGCGGAATGGTAGGCCTTTGATGGATGAAGACCCCGTCATCACCAACTAGGGTTGCAAACGAATCGAGCCGCTCACGAGCGGTTCGAGTCAAGCTCGAGCCAGTTCGAGTCAAACTCGAGCTCGAACTCGAGCTAAGAATATTAAACTCGTTAGGCTTGCGAGCTTGAGTATATATACATATATATATATATTTTTTATTTTTATTTAATAATAAAATTATGTATATTATATATTATATATTTTTTATTTTCATAGTAAAATTACGTATATATCCTTAATATTTTATTATTTATTCAGAAAAAATATTATATTATTTATTTTTTAAAAAATAAATTTTTTATTTTTTTCGAGCTCGACTCGACTTGATTTGAGTCGAGCTCGAGCTCGAAAATTGTCGGCTCGTCGAGCTCGAGTTTGGTAAAATTTAGTCGAGTCTCGACTCGATTAGCTCAAAACTCGACTCGACTCGACTCGTTTGCAGCCCTATCCCCAACACACCAAAAAAAGAAAAAAAAAAAAGGAAAGAAAAGAGCAACAAATGATTTGAAGAGAAAAGTGAGGAAAGGAAGCGCGTTAAAAGTGACATTGTGAAAGAGGAAGCGTTGCCAATTTGTTTCGGGCCAGATTTTAATACCAGTATGAGCCCTTTATGTGTTACTCTGTTTATCTCGTCTAGGGATGGCAACGGGGCGGGGTTGGGGCGGGGGACCCCTCCCCCGTCCCCCGCCTCCAGCTCCCCCCGCCCCGCCCCCACGCCCGCCTTGCCCCGCTTCCCCCACGGGGGCACCCGCGGGGTTAATAAAATTTTATTATATATTTTTATTATAATTAAATTTTAATAAATAATCAAGTACTAAAATATCAACACATCACCAAATTATTATTCATTGTAATTTTACAATTGAAACTCATAAAAACAATCAAACATAAGTTATTTGAATACAATCCAATATGATGAAATAAATATAACTAAAATAGTCAAATTTTCACTTTTAGTACAAATGCAATCACTAATTCATCATCGTATTTGTGTTTTTTTTTTTTGAGAAAAAAGTGTTATTCTATTAAGTGTAATTAGAAATTTAGTATAAATGTATTAGTAAATTTAGTATAACTAATTAAAAAATTCTATTAGTAGACATGTATAATTATTCATATAATTGATAATATCAATTATATTATATAAACTAATATACATTATATAATACATCTAACTAATAATATCATTATCATAAGTTTATAACTAATTAACTTACATATAATATATAGTCATTTATATATATATATATATATATTTTTTACGGGTGCCGGGGCGGGGGATGGGGCGGGGAAGTATACCCCCGCCCCGTTTCTAAGCGGGGGGAAAAAATTCCCCCCTGCCCCAACCCCGCCCCGTGAACCCCCCGCTGGGCGGGCACCCGCCCCCATTGCCATCCCTAATCCCGTCGCGTTCTGATGTTTGTTGGAGTAAAATGAAAATTGGTTCTCAAAGAATCAAGCAGGCACGACACATTTTACTATTTATCCAGTTGCTGTTATTTACACACATCATCAAATACCAAAACCAACAAATAAAAAGGAAAAAAAATGTTATTTGATAGTGATTTTCTATCATAACCATCCCCATTTTTTTGATTGAGTGACGTATTTTTTATTTTAAGTTTTAACTGACTAGTTTTTTGATTAATTTTTGTAAAAAAAAATATATTTGGAATTTTATACGAGGTCTCTTTCTTGCCATAGGAGTTAAGCCATACTAGTTAGGTTATCTTTATATATTTTTATAACAATATTAATATAACTATTATTATTAGTAGTAGAGAAGATGTGTGATTTTAAATTCTAGCCTCTGAACCTTAATCACTTTGAATCAAAATGACATATGATCATGACCTCTTATCCTTAACCCCCTAGACCAAGGAGTTTGAACTCTAGTTTTGATATAAATTTTTGTTCGTGGTGCCCCTATATTTTACCTTGAAAATTCATCGGGCAAATTGTATTGATTTTTTTATCTAACAAAGTTGCCCCTACACTTGCAACGAAGAACCAAATTTAATTCTCTCACTAGAAGTTTAAGCGCATGTTGTTATAATATAACCATCATAAAAATTGTAACTAACAAAATAATTGTAATTTGATAGAAACAAATTTTACAAGGTCATAGTTTTGCCTCTTTTGTTAAATCAATTATAAAAGGACATTATTTATACGCATAGTAGGTAAGCCCTTAACAATATTCTAAGTAAACTTAAAAAAAGGTGAAAGCGTCGTCTTGAAATAATGTTAAGCATAAACATGATAGTTTACTAAGAATCAATTGATGAAATTAACATGATTTGCTAATGAATGTAATGTTTCTCACGTTTTAAAAAGAACAAACAGGGTTGCTGGTTGATATTTTCTTATCATTAATATTTAATACCAAAAATTTAGAAGCCTTTATTCCTCAAAATAATAGCATCTACAATTAGGGGTGGGCACGGGTTGGGTACCCGTCCCTAACATAATTTGGCTGACTAGACCTTAATATATCGGATCAGTCATTTTGCGACTCTAACCTGCTCCTAATGTTTTCGGGTACCCGAATAGCGGGTATCCCAAAAAAAGGGGACGGGTCATAGGATACCTGCGTCTAAAAAAAACTATTTTCCAATAAAAAAATTTATTTTTCATTTAATATCAACATGTTTTTTAATAAAGTCCATATATCATCATTCTCACACATTTCATCAAACAATCAAATCGATCTCATAAATTTATTACATATTAGAATTATAATATCTAATGGACAAAACGAAATTTTATAATAATTTTGAGTACATCACCATTCTCACACATTTCATCCTTATACAATACAACAAACACAAGGATAATAAGTATTTGGTAACTTTCCCAACTTCCTTAAGGATGTTATGGTACAATACTACATCCCAAATAAGTTGATTGTGAAATCAAGTTCGGAAAAGAATTGAATATAACTAACTATTTTTTCGAAAATAACCAAAATAACCTTAAAAAATCTTCCCCAACTTCTTTACATATTTGGAATAGACCTTATGGTATTAAAGGTGATGAAAAAGAAAAATAAATTTCTTAAACGAGACAAATTTAAGAGACATAGTTGCAATAAAATAAATAAATAAATGAAAAAGGCAAATGTTTTAATTATCTAGCTAACAGAAAATTGAAACTCCAAACACAAATTTTTAATTGAATTGATGCAAAATTTGCAGGAAAGATCGATGAAGGTAGAATAAAAATAAAAAGAATGAAAGGGATGAACAATTTTTATAATAGAGTTTCACAATTTTTTTTTTATTTTGTTCAGTTTGTTCGTGTTTCACCGAGAATATTTGCTTTCTTCAAACAAAATGAGGAGAGGTGGATTATACAGAATTAGAATATGAGGCTGTAAGCCACTTCACTTGTCCTTAAAATTAAAAATTACAAAGTTATAAAATGATCTATAATTTTTTAATATTTATAAAATATACCTTGTGGGTCGGGTACCCGCGATTTTTTTTTATCCGTACCCGTACTCGATTTTTGCGGGTACCCGACCCTCATCTGCCCTGCTAAGAAAAATCGGATCGGATTCATTGGATTTTTGGATCGACCGATTTTTTTGCTCACCCCTATATGCAATAACTAATAGATAAGTTTTTATTCCTCAAAGAATGTGATTTTGATATTGTAGGAGTTATTTGTTTTTTTATCAATCGTCATTCCTATTCCTACTCTATCATAATCTATTTAGGGGAGATTCAACTGGGCCTATAAAGAACCGATAAGGATAGAATCACTATTGAACTAGACAAAGTGCACTACGCGCCCATCTGAATTTAAAGAACCATATAATGTCATTGGTGAGAATCAAGTTCGAACCCTTGTCCAATATAAATTGGAAAATGAAATGGCATCAGAAAACAAATGAATTTGGAATGAAGACCTCTTGTCCCCAATATAGTTCCTCTCACCTAGGGTTTTACCGCAACTCTCCTCGGACTCCTCCATAAGGACCATAACTAGCTACAAGCAGCCCCTTCCTCACCACCCATCAGAAAATGGTTTAGGGACGCCAAGGAGAGCGCGTCAGGTCATCTAATTTTCCGACTCCATCTCCATTTTCCCCTTATTCAGTAATTTGTTTAATTGAACTTGATTTTTCTCCGCATTTTTTGGGTTTAACCCTGCAGGCTTTACATGAGAGGAACTATATTGGGGTACAAGAGGTTGCAGTCCAACCAATACCCGAACACTTCGTTGATTCAGATCGAAAGAGTGAACACAAAGGAGGAGGTGGCTTGGTACCTCGGCAAGAAGATGGCGTACATCTACAAGGCTAAGGTTAAGAAGAATGGATCTCATTACCGCTGTATTTGGGGAAAGGTTTGCAGGCCTCACGGTAACATGGAGAAGTTTTTCATGAGAACAATTTGTGTGGTTACTGATGAACATGACCAAAAAATGTTGGTGGAGAGAGAACGAGCAAGATGTGGATCTGAAGACTATACAGATGATGTCAATCATGCTTAAAATTGTTTGTGTTACACAATTCATCCAAAATATGGCTGTTAGATATGCAGAATTGATGGAGACTTGTGTGCACAACATGTGGGGGGTGAAAGGGACAGATTTTGTTAATTTTCATAAGGCGACTTGATTTGTTAAGTAATATCCCCTCCACATTTCAAGAAGCATGTTAGAAAAGATGGCACTGTGGCTAGTTTCCAAGTATTTTGAAACTTCCCCAGTATAAGTTATCCAAAGTTACTGCAGACACAGTTGAAAGCAATTTCGTTGATCGGCGCAGATTTATCCTAATTTAATATAATGAGTTAGATTAGCATTCAATAACTTTAAGTTGACTTCTTTTTGGACACAGTTTGATGTTCTGCTGTTGGGGCACTGATGTGTAATGTTTAGACTTGAGGAGGGTTTCTCATATGCATGAATGCTACATTTTCCATGTTTGACCTGTTCCATCTGGCTATGACTAGATTTTGCAATTTGTTGGAGTTCCTGAAATTTGATAACTGTGTCCATGCTGTGGAGTGGTACACTAGACATTCAGAAGCTACTCCTGATTTTTGTGATCATTATCGGTTTCTACTGTTTCCATTCTTAGTGTTGTCATGAATTAGGTTTTGTTAAATTGTTATGGAGTCGTTTTTGACTATTTGCTTGGCTACTAGTAATTTGTTTGGACATTTACAGTTTTCTTATTATATATCAACACAACATACAATGCACCAAAGAGGGTTATTGTTCACTTTTCGTTGTCATCACGTGCTACTCACGTGAGTTATCTAAATTGGTTCTTCTCGGTGCTCCAGCATCGCCCATGGATTTCTGATGGGATCAGAGGCTCATGTGATTTTCTTTCTTCTTTCGCAGATGTCTTGAGCTACCAGAAGAACCTTGCCTAAAATGATGATTGGCCCGATTTACCATCTTTATCTGTTGGATATTGGCCATGAACGCTGCTCTAAATTTCAACATAACATATTATCTCTTCCTACCGGCTCACCCTTTTCTTCACTTTGGTTTTCATATTGGTTTCTCTTTCTAGGGTTTTCACATCTCTTTTTCTGTCTGGCTTGTCTTTTCTCCTTATCCTTTCCTTGCTCTAATTGTGGCTTCTTTTCTTGCGTACTTCCATCTTCTACCCTAAAACCTCAACCCTTCTTATTGTGATATCATAATGTGATGATATTATTATTTGATTTTGGGGGTTTTTTGGTTCATATGTGATTTTTGGGGGTTGTTTTTTGTTTTTCGTTTCCTATTCTTTTGGTTTTGGGTGTTTGTGTCTTTTTATTTCCTTTATTTTTCATGTATCTGCTTTTCCACTTTTAGTAGGTCTCCCTGTATTTGGATTTGGCCATTGCTCTATCTACATGAAACTTAGGCATATGGAATTATTATGTGATTTTTAGGGGGTTGTTTCTTGTTTTTCCATTTCTGTTTCTTTTGCTTTTGGATGTTTGCTTGTACCTTTTTATCTGCTTTCTTTCTGATCTGGCCATTGCTTTGTCTTTTCTTTATTTTGTCCTGGTTACTATCAGTTTGCTTCAAGTAGAATGTGTTCTCAGAGTTGCACCGTCTCCGCAGCTGACCACACATAAGGTAACTCACGACTCTGCCTTCCTTCCTTTCCTTTTTTTTTTTGGGTCTATTTTTGAGTGATCCGAACTATTTTTTTTCACTTAGAGATTATGTAAAGAACAATTATTACATCAATGGCTGGCCATAGCCAACAACATATTTTGCCATTGGTTATTCTGCGACCTTGCCCCTCCTTCCTTCACTTTTCTATTCTTAGTGGTCTCTCGATGCTCTGTGGTTCGTTTTTTCCCTTTATACCCAAATGATATATTTTGATTTCCTCTGGTTGCTAGGGACTCTTGAAAAACAAAGCTAATGATTAAGTGTTTTCCATTTCATTATAGGAGAAATAATTGCAGGAACAAAACAACTTCTTGTCAAAGCAGGTGCATTGGATAAACCTTACTTTTTGCATCTTTAGATGCATTTTCCCCTTATTTTTACTGTTCCAACTCTCATCCTAAGTGCAAAGAAAATAATCATTTGTTCATTATTCGCACCTCCAATTTGAGTTAAAGGAAAATGAGAACATAGTTACTGTATGCTGCTCATCTGCAATCTGAGCTGCTGCCTGAGTTGGTGCCCTTTTCTTTCTTAAAATTAGGTACTGTCTCTGAAAATCTCTTGCCACTATTCTGTGTAAATAGACACATGCCGATCCCAGTAATTCTGATGCAACTTTTGATCTACTACTATTGCAGAAAGACCAGTGAAGGCTAGGCTGCAACCCACCAAATTTAAAAGATCTTTTCCACTGTGCTTCTAAAAATTTTGATATCGAGATATACTCTTCACCTTGGAGAAAAATCCGTTTCGTGCTTTCAAGAGAATTATATACATGCATATGACTAAACATTCTCCAATTTGATTCACTTCCTCAACTAATGTTGTTAGATTATTTATTTTATATTCTTCGAATTTTATTTGTATTTTATTAGCAAAATTGATGCAATTAAGGAGTTTTTTACACTTTTCCTGTGTATTTTCCTTGCAAGCAAATGGACCCTTAGGCAAAGTGGATGGATGGAAGAGATGGTGGTGATGCGAACTTGTTCATACCATCTTGGCTGGTTTATCTCATGAGTAAATAATGACTAAGAAGGGAAAACTTCTTTTTGCTTTCAAGCCAGAAAAGTTACTTGTCAAAATAATTATGTTTTTAATTTTGTTTTATTCAGCGCCAAACATGCCTATCTTAATGAAGTAGGTATTATGTGCATGATACTATGTATTTTGTGTTTGCGATGCTAATTAAATTGTTGATAAGAAAATACTTGACACTTTCATATAGTACTTTAATACCCAACGAAAAAGAAAGTGTTTTATGTGAGTTGTGTTTTTGGCTGGTGCGTAACTCTTATTTCAAGGCCAATGTATGAGGCTGTTTATTTGTATGTTTCATTCGATAGCTTACGTCTGCATTTTGGTTGATGGCCTTGGAGTAAAGCAAATACATGGATTTCTTTCTGAAGACTTTTATTCAAAGAAAAACTAGGGTCAGTGAGTTCTTGCTATATATGTGTGTTCTTTATTTACTTAAAGCATTTGGATTAATAGTGAGTATTTTACACATTGAATGCAGAACTCCCATGTAACATTTTTATGTCAATTTTAGTTCTGGTGCTATGTCAACCTTGATTTGATGTGTGAAGCCCATGCCCAGACCTATGTAATGACAAAAGTCATGAAATTGATGCAAAATAGGTAAAAATGGAAACTAAATGAGTTGAAGAGATGTAAGAGTTTGGTCTATAATGGATTGGAAGAAGTATAAGGAGGCAAGTGAAAGGAACAGGGGTTATTGGCTTGAGGATGCAGTGGAAATCTCATGTAGTGAGAGCTTTAATTATTAGTATAGATTCTATTTAATAGGAACTTCGGTTGGTTATTGAAATTAATGACCTTACAGGGATATAATGGTATCTTTTGCAAACTTATCTTAACAAATTTATAAATGTCTTCATAGTTTTTCGTCTCAATTATTTGCTTGTCCTTTTTTCTTTTTTGGGTTAAAAAGAAGCATTCCCGAGAGGGGGAAAGAATGATCAATGCCTTGTATATTTTGCAAAGAATGACACTGGGACTTGCATTTTGATATGTCATATGAATGATTTAGCAGACATTTAGTTGTTTCATTTTGCTTACATGAGGTTTGCCCTATGCAACTACCATGATAATCCTGCAGAGCTGTCGAACGAGTTGTGCAGGTCCATTTGTGCTCCTTCCATCCATTGCTAAAATTTGCCGTTCATTTAACAGGTTAGCATATTTGATATATAGTTAATCTTTTTCTACAATTTCTTGGCTATTTGGACAATCTATTCTGTTCTTTTCTTTTTATTTGAATAATTTATTTTTCAGTAATTTTATTACTGTATGCTGTTTGGATTGTATTTTGTAATTTTGGCTATCAAAAATAGTTTTTAAGTAGTAATTGTTTTTGCTTCTTTTGCTTAAGCATCATTGCACTCATAGGGTTAAGCATCGTTTGTTATTTTCTGTAAGGTTCTAATGGTAGCTCACTTGGATCTATTTGTAATTGTTTTTGAATTTCTTTAGTTTGTATTCTGTCCCGGGGAATTCATACACTGGATATACTTGTCCTAGAAGATTATTTCTTGAATTTTCGTCTTCCTCTATTTTGCAACATAATTACTTTATATTCTTGTCTTACTTTTTACATGTAGAAAATTCCGGATCACATTGATTAAAAATTAGTTGAGCATCGCACTCCAGACATTGTTCTTACAAGTGGAACTAGAGTTTACAGTATTGGAAACAGGAAAGATAGATTTCATCGAAAATGGAGCGACTTTGTTGCAGATCATAACCTCCAAGATGGAGACATTCTACTCTTTCTTCCTCAATCTCACACTTTGTTTGCTTTGTTAATCTTTGAAACCAATGGAATAGAAATTATTTACCCCTGGCATCGCACGTTCATGATTTAAATATTATGTTTGTAGATTCTGAATTATCAATGAAATTGGTCGTCCGATGTAATGAAATGATTTGTGGTTCGTACTTAAGAATGACTTCAGTAGATTTAACCTTTTTCCACTTCCAGTTTTATCCCCCTTGTTGTCTCTATGGTGAACTTGGAATTTGCACTCTTGGTCTCGGAGGTTCTATTCCCTTCTATGTCATTCCTTTATTCTATTATTAATTTTTATACCAGGATCAAATAGTTAACTTTCCTCCTACTGTGTATTATGCATGCAATAAATTTCCGTTTACGATATTGCTTTTGGACTGTAAGCAATACCAATTCCTTCCAGAGCATAAATATAATATTGTCTAATTCATGAGGTTTATGTATTCCAACCAGTAAAGAATATGTACCGTGACCACAAGGTACCTAATTCAATGACAATATCGCTATTCATATAATGTCTACTTATCCAAGGGTTGACGGGCATAAGCGTTATCTATTCCACCCCGCAACGCCGCGGTTATGCCTCCCAGTGTTGTTGCAGTGTTCCAGCAAAAGTAGGAGCATACTGCTTGAGGTCATTGGTGGCTTTAGAAGGCCGTAGGTGCCAGCTGAAGGTCATTGGTGATTGAAGGACAAGATTGTTAAATTAAAATTTACATAATCCAATCCATAGTTCCTAACATTTAATAAAATAAAATTTTGTCTCTCATATTTCACAAAATGAATTATTTTGTCTTCGTATTTTACAAAATAAAATTTATTATCGCTTATTGACCATGTATACAAATAATTTTTTAAAATTCATGTATATATCTAATTAAATTCACCTAAATAATATGAATAATATGTAATATATTTTTATTTGATTTCATCTAAATAGACTAATTGTAGTTATACATATTCTATTCAATAGATATATACATGGGTTTAAAAATAATAATTTTATTTTAAATCCATATACATATATTTATTTGATTTCATCATGTGAATCAATTCAATATTTATGATTTTTTCTCTTTTGATAATAATTTATTTATCGAGTTATGTAATTAGATCATCTAATTAATCGGTCCTAAATCGAATTCTATAGTCATACTAACAAATTGCATTTTAAATCTAAAATTTTGATTCGCCACTTTTAAGATCAACAGTTAAATTATTTGGTTTGTGATTGTTTTAAAATTTGAAAGTGTCAATCACTTACTTATTTTTGTAATACTTTTCCTTTGTTTCTTTTTTCTTTCAAATTTAATTCAATATAAACACTTGATAATATTTAGAATTAAATGTTTTCTTTGTTTTCAATTTTTGAATAAAAGTAAAATGAACATGAGTGAAAAATTAACATTTGTTTAAAACTCCTGTTTATATCTATTTAATTTCACTTACATAGTACGTTCAAACGAAATCAAATAAATATATATTATATGCTATTTATATTGTTCATATGAAATTAAATAAACATATATACATGAGTTTTTTTAAGTTATTTGTATACATGATAAATGATGGATAAAAAATTTATTTTATAAAATATGAGGGATGAAATAATTCATTTTGTGAAATGTGAGGGACGAAAAAATTCAATTTGTGAAATGTGAGAGATTATAGATCAGATTATGTAATTTTGATTTGATAATTTTGTCTTTTAAAAATGATCGCATGTAAGGCATGTGATGGATTCTGACAAAAAACTAGTCAAAAATTTAGGTTGACGAAATTTGACTAATGTAAATTTGTAAGGAAAGTAAAAATGTACTTTTAAAAGTGAGGAACAAAAAAATTCATTTTACAAAATATAAGGAACGTTTTGAAAGATTTTTCCTTAAAAATATAGAATATGCTAAAAAATGCGATGTTTTATTGATTTATTTCTTTAATTTACGGGTCCATTATTTCACATGATTAACAAGAAATTTTCATCATTGGTAATTAAAAAAATCAAATCTCAAGCAACGTTTGGATTAATAAAATGGTGTAATTTTAATGGAAAAGCAAATAAATCAAAGTAGAAAAAAAATTTTCTAACCATTTTGTTTGGATTACTTATACAAAAAAAGAAAAGAAACATCGAATATTTTGAAAAAGAAAGAAAAGAATAGATTATGTATAATTGCATTGTATCCATAACTTAATAAAATCTAATTGTAAACATACTTTAATACTTTATTTATTTTTTGTGTATTTTCATATTCATCTTGTTATTGTTATAATAAATTTATGAAATAATATTATTTAAATGAAAATTTTAATCTTTTTTTAAGATAAAGAAATTACAAGAACTATGAAAATACAAAAAAAAGAATTTTAAAATGTTAACAATCATCGTTATGAAATTTAGTAGGGCAAATCGCCAATTTGGTGTCTGAACTTTTTCACTTAAATCAATTTAGTCCTTCACGGTTTTTTTTCACCAATTTAATCCTCAAACAATTTTATCGAGTTTAATGTAGGACTTATTGGGCAGCGCCACCGCATTTTGTGTATTTTTCACGGCGAACTAGGGGTATAATTGTCTAATTATACGGATTAGAATAGTAGCTCTATGCTGTTAAGCAAAAGAAACCTCTGCAAATCGACCCACTGAGCTCAGGGTTTCACAATCTGATCAAAATGTAAGAAAATGTGATTGCCAATAGAAGATGAGTAGATTCCATGTCCTCGATGATGGAAGGTGTCGATGGCGACAAGGATGGTGATCTTGGGTTGCAATCACCAGCAAGTCCATCACCAGCTCCACCGTCCATGGCAGCAGGGTAAATTCGCAACCGCGGGAGCTGGGATTCTCCCTCCACCGCTTGTTGAGAAGGTATGGTCTTCGGCGTTACAAGCCGAAAACAATCGACATGGTTCTAGGAACTGCATGTTGCCCTGGTTCAGTAACTGATTATATTCAGAAGTGTAAGTTGAACTATAAATCTCGGGCTGCTTCAACGTTGGAAGTTAGGAAGCATAGTTCATACCTGGGCTGGAAAATTCAGTTTGCAAGAGATAAAGCTGTAACTAGAATGCGATACATCTCCCCCGAAGGTGAGATTCACTATTCACTCTATCAGGTTTGTCTGAGATTGCAACTTGGATCAGATGTTCCTTCCCGGATGTGCCAAGATGATGAAAGTAACAGTGATGATCCTGTAGAAAGCTCGGTCTCATCTTCATTAACTGTGATCCCAAAAGCAGACACTGGGGCACTGAAAGTGCTTTCTTATTCTGAACTTGTTTGTTTTGAACGCGATAATTTTCCTGAAGCTGTGCTGAACTATTGGAGAGGGACAACTTATCATGGACAGAATGGTGCAAAGGTTGGTATTATGGCTTTAAAGGCTAAAAGGCACCTATCCTTTCTGGGTTGGAAGTTCTATCTCGAACCAAAGGGGTTTAAGAAGGAGATGAGGTATGGATCCCCATGTGGTAAAAAATTTTACTCTCTTCGAAGTGCTTGCCAATCTTGCGTAACTAAAGGGAGAATTCATCGTAGTAATGATGCTTATAAGAGTAAACAAATCAAGGAACCATTTACAAGCCAAGAATGTGGAGTCCAGCTGATTTTGACAGATCCATCTCCTCCATCAAATGCTATGGAATCAGAAGGACGTGTGAATGATGATCTGTCAAAACAGCTGCTAATAGAGCCATCTTCAAAAATATCACAGCCAAAGCAACTTGCTCAACCAGGACAAGTCAAATGTCATGGAATTAGAGGACCAGAAAGGAAGAGAAACCGTTGCTTGCTACAACAATCCTCGGCTGCTCTTCACACAGCCCCCAGAATGAGGACTCATATTTGCTTGATGATGTTAAAGAATCTCAAGCTTCAACCAAACAAAGAGATGATGTGAATGCAGAAATGTCTTCCTGTGTGTTGCGGTCAAGTAAAAGAGCTCGGCAATCAGTTGTTTCTCCTTCAATTCACCAGCCTCCTAGGACTACCTGAGCTCAGTGGGTCGATTTGCAGAGGTTTCTTTTGCTTAACAGCACAGAGCTGCTATTCTAATCCATATAATTAGACAATTATACCGTCATTCCAATTATACCCCTGGTTCGCCGTGAAAAATACACAAAATGCGGTGGCGCCGCCCAATAAGTCCTACATTAAACTCGATAAAATTGTTTGAGGATTAAATTGGTGAAAAAAAACCGTGAAGGACTAAATTGGTTTAAGTGAAAAAGTTTAGACACCAAATTGGCGATTTGCCCAATTTAGTATTCAAGATTTTCAATTTTTTCATGTTCAAAATCATGGTTAATCTAGTACAGATGACTAAATTGTTTCTGTCCATGTAAATACGTAGTACTTATTAAGTTGCAAGCATAGTATGCCAAAACTCGACTCGACTTGACTATGTCAAAACTCGACTCGACTCGACTAAGTCAAAACTCGACTCGACTCGATTAATTTGTACCCCTAGTTAGAGGTACTGTTCTTAAAATAAAATAGAATAGAAAGAAAAAGCAAGGAAAGACAGGCCACAATGAAGCAAAGGTATTAAACTTAGACAAGAGCGTGGATGTATAATGTATTAAGCAAATAAACCCATGGATAAATAGATATTTCTTCGATATACAAATAAGAGTAAATTTTATATGCACCGATATTGTATACACTATCATCATTAAATTCATGATAGAATTTCAAATTTAAATTTTACATAATTATTATTTATTAAATACTATAGTGTATATATAATCAATGTAGGAAAGATTAATCCTACACAATAAAGTGCTAGCAGAAGTTTCTGACCTTGTACGAAATAATGGATATAATGGATTAAAGTGACAGGAGTGATACCGGGAGAGCGGCTTAATCAGCCATTACAGCCTCATAATAGGAAGCTTCTTGCTCTACTTAAGCTGCTTATTTCGCTGATGACTGCTTTTGCTCTAAAGTATTGGTAAATAATGTCCCTAATATTACAACCTAATAACGTCCCTAATCAATTCAAGTGGAGGATTTATGAGTTTGTAGTTTGATGCATCTTAAACCTCATTAACTTAATTCAAGTAGTAAACTAATTATATAAATGGCAGCTAAATTAAATGATTAACATAGTTAAAGCAAAAAAGAAAAAAGAAAAAAGAAAAAAGAAAAAAGAAAAAAGAAAGAAAGAAAGAAGAAGAATATGTA